GGAGAAGAGAAGGCTTCGGGGAGACCTTATTGCAGCCTGTCAGTACTTAAAGGGGGCTTATAAAAAAAGATGATGGCAAACTTTGTATCAGGGCCTGCAGCGATAGGAGCAGGGGCAATGGTTTTACACTAAAAGAGGGGAGATTTAAACTAGATGTAAGGAAGAAATGTTTTACGCTGAGGGTGGTGAGACACTGGCCCAGGTTGCCCAGAGAGGTGGTGGCTGCCCCATCCCTGGAAACATTCCAGGTCAGGCTGGACGGGGCTGTGAGCGACCTGATCTTGTTGAAGATGTCCCTGCCCAGGGCAGGGGGGTTGGACTAGATGAGCTTTAAATGGTCCCTTTCCAACCCAAACCGTTTGATGATTCTATTAAACACCAAACCCGGGACCTGCTGCCGGTCAGAGCCGCGGCCCGTTTCTATCGACGTCGCTGGCAGTTTGGCAAGGGACTCACAGCAACGTGCAGCCCACGTGCTCTGCCGAGCTTCAGTGCAGCCGGCAGCCCCGGGACGCACAGGGAAACTGGATGTTTTGTTGCGTAGAGCCTGTATGGGGAAATCTGGCTGCCTTAGGGGATCGCACCAGGGAGCCCAAACCTTGCCAGCGTTTGTTCCCCCGTGGAAGTGATGCTTTGGGAAATGCTCTTGCTTTTCAGCTCCTACCAGACTGAGACATGCTGCCACCTCGCTGTTTCAAACCTGTTTGAGGGCTGGATTTCCTAAAGGGGGGTGGGAAATCCCGAGGAGATTTCCCTTGCAGTCTTGCCCCCACACGGAAACATCCTTTTCTTTCCAATCCACTCCGCAGATGCTTCCTGATTTTGGATCGATTCACTTGCAGGATCTGAGGTTTGCTTGGTGTAGACACCTGCAGTAATCCCTTCCGAAGCCCCGATGCTCGGGACGGACCGTGCTGGCAAAGACTTTGAACGCCGTGGCCCCGGTCCAAGCACTCGGCTCTCTGCCCCGTCCTCGTCCCCAGCCCCCACGTGGCTTTTTCCCCCCCCCGCAGATGCTGCCTCGTCTACAAACAGTTTCCCTTCTCGCGTGCAGCGCCCAGATGGATCCAATGCTTTTGTAATAATAACCAGGACTGGGAGATGGGAAACTCAGTCGCGCTGTCCCCTGCAGAGCTGCCCATAACGTACCAATCGTGGGAGCGACCTTTCAGCCCGAGCCGGTCGTTCCCGTGCCTCCGAGATCTTCAAGCCCCCCCTGAGATTGTGCAAGTTTGAAAAACGTATCGGAAAAACGCCGTCGGCTAAAGGTGGCGGAAGGGAGCGGGGACTGCAAACAGTGCCTTGCCTCGAGCCCTGCGACCGTGGCTCTCCCTGCCCTTCGCCAACCTCTCGTCCCGAATTCCGCCTGGACTCGCCCGGCGTCAAGTCTCCCTGCGAGCCAAGGCAGGCAGAAAGCCGCCCCTCATCAATCAGATAACGCGCTTGGCGGGGTTTTGCTGATGACTGGTTAACGGGTTAATAACGTCTCGAGGAATGGGCTTTGCTATTTTTGGGACCCGCCGGTGGATGCGTGTTAGCGAGTGCTTTGGTGAACGCTGCGACTTGGTTGTGGGGTGGGGGGGTTGCTACCCCAAGAGATCTTTGCGGCTCCCTGCTGCTTTTCTTCTCTTTCAACCCTGTGAGGCTACTTAAGGCTTCAAGCTCTTTTAATAAAGGCAAGATTTGAGCCCAAATTGCCTGCGGATGCTCCCCTTCCCTAATTAAACGGGAGGGGCTCTGCCTGTTGCCTTTGGGTCCAACCCTTGGCCGCTGCCCAAGGCCGTCACCCGTAATACAAGCCATAAATACCCAACCCTGGGAGTTGGGGGTCTGTTTATGTGTCCCCTTAGCTTAAAAATACTTGCGATGCTGCAGAAGCGCTGCCGGCTCCCCAGATTATCTCGTAGCCGGCCGCCGAGGCTGAGCGATTCCGCATCGGGCTCCCTCTGTTGTCGGGCACTGACAGCGGCGCCGGAGGGAGATGAAGCTACAGCCTAATTATTTTCCTTTGTCGCCCCTCCTTTGTCTGATTGATGGTTGTATTATTTTTGGCCTGCCTCTCGCGGGATCACGATTCCTTTCACCTGAAAGCACAGGGCAAGCGGCAAGGCGGCAGCGCTGACGTGACCTTATTGCACCCGGTCCTTGCCTAAAAGCACCCAAACGGGCCATAAACTGTCGCGGGAAGCCGTGAGCCGGCAGTCGAGGACAGGAGCAGGTTGATGCGGGTTTAATAATCGATTAGCAGGGTGATGGGGACGCTGGCTGCAGCGGCCCGGGGTTGTTTCGGTCCCCGTTGCCCTGCGCCTGTTTCTGACGCTTTCCCTGTCCCTGCAGTCATCCTGACGGACGAGGAGGTTCAGAGGAAGCGCGAGATGATCCTGAAGCGCAAGGAGGAGGAAGCGCTCAAGGAGAGCCTGAAACCCAAACTCTCGGAGGAGCAGCAGAAAGTCATCGACATCCTCCTCGAGGCTCATCACAAAACCTACGACCCCACGTACGCCGACTTCACCAAGTTCCGGGTACGTCCAGGGCACGCCAGTCCCGATTCCCGTGCACAGGACCAAGCGGTTTCTGCCCAGATCCATCCCACGCCTTCTCATTAGAGAGGAGT